TTTTTTGCTGTTGTTTTTGTTGCTTTTGTTTGTTTAGTTGTAATCATCTTGTTCGTACGACTGCCTGCTCGATGAGGCGAGCTCAGCAGTCAATTTTGTTGAAGGGGATCTTATCTGGTCCGCCGGGCCAGCACCCCATGTCGCGGTAAGGCCACCGTTACTCGATGCGGCCCGGTGTCGAAGAGGCGCCGTTATACTACAGCCGGTTTACACCCTCCTGGCTGCAAACTGTCCAATAGGCACGGTGTCGCGTCACACCCTTTGGTGACAGTTCTTGGTCACCGTTCACCGGCAGCCCAAGTCTGGAGAAAAGGCAGCGCAGAAGCGACGAGCGCGTCAACGATGCCCCAGACCAGAAAGGGGCTGGTCGGCGATTCAGCTAAGCCCCCGCACCAACGGCAAGGTGCCTGCCCTAGCGAGGGACGTTTTAAGCATTGTCAAGGATTTAAACTCGCTTCCAGAGGGTTTCTGGGGTTGCTGATTAGGAATCTGATGTCAGATTTTCAAAATTCAAAATGGTGGATCCAAAATGGCTACCAACTTAAAACAAAAAAGATTGGATTTTTGTGAAACTCTTAACCGCCATTTTGAATTTTGAAAATCTGACATCATATTCGTAATTAGCAACCCCAGAAACCACTGGAAACGAGTTTCAACCCTTGACAATGTTTAACATGTTCAGTATTAATTAAAATATTTTATAATTTGATCGCCATATCGGATCCGCCATTTTGAATAAAAAAAAATTGACGTAAGATTCGTGATCGGCGACCCCAAAAACCCTCGGGTGCCGCTTTTCGAACAAATCCAACCATTAAAAAAAAATTTGGATCCGCCATTTTGAATTTTGAAAAACTGACTTCAGATTCATAATTACCAACCCCAGAATCTCCCCGGAAACAAGTTCCAACCAATGACGACGCGTAAATCGTTCAGTATCAGCGTTTTAATTTTACTAGTATCATTTCGAGAGCATATTTTTGGGCACTAGGGCCATGCTAACCGCCCAAGACAAGTATGTAATTAAGGGAACACTCCCCAATAATACCAGAGTAATTATATGTAAAAACCACATTTTTAGCTGCATTTTAACATGTCAAGAAAACGAAAAAATTGAGAACATCAACGTTTTTTTAAAAAACCGACCAGCGAGACCTCTAAAAAAACTTTTTTTCAAAATAAAAAAAATACGTGTCTCTTTTTAACTGACTTCCAAAAAAAGAGGAGGTTATCAGTTCGTCGGAATATTTTTTTTTATTATTATTATGTTTTATTTTTATTTTTTTATTTTTTATTTTTTTATGTATGTTACCGCATAACTTTGGACCACGTCAACCAATTTCGATAATTTGCATTTGCATCGGAAAGGTAGTGTCTCAGAGCTGGTCCCATACTAATCTGGTTAAGATCCGATCAGTGGATCATGAGATATATATGTATATATATATACTTTTTTTATATGAGAGTTGAAATCGGCTTTTTTTTTGCTAAAAATTACTTGTTTTATAACAAATAACAATATTTTGATTTAGCGTTTATGAATTTCCGAAAAGAGTGTTTTTATGAATCACTCTAGTGTATGTATAACAAATTACATAAGTTTTTTATTAAATATATCCTATGGAAAAATGTTTATGAATCCTTTTCAAATAATTACAGGCATTTAGTTAATTTCAAGTATTTTCGAAAAAGGGGGACGCATTCAAACGTAAAAATTTGTTTTCTTTTATTTTTCAACATAAATAATTAAAAAACTAGAGCTTTTTTAAAAAATCGCCACGGATAGATCGATGCGAAATTTAATTATATTTTATTTAAAAAAATTAACTTGAAATCGGTTCTTATTTTTTTGCCCCATTTGCGTCGTGCCGTGCGATTGGTGTGCGGTAGTTTCTAAATTTATGGATTTTATCTATCTTCTATATATAAATACGCCACAAGAAAATTTTGCAATCCCTTTTTTGAAGGCACCGTTCGCTCGATTTCCATGAAACATACATCGAATTAAAGGATATAACTTCCTCTAATCCAGAAATGTTATTCCCGATACCTAGGGGGCGTGGTATCTGACATATAGACTAAAATGTGAAAACCACTTTATCTCTAAAATCAATTATGCTGGGGAACTGAGACTTAGCACAGCTGCATAGATTGTACATACCCTACTTAAGGTGAAAAATGGTATGTACTGGGAAAGTGGGCGTGGCACTTCCCATACAAACTGAAATTCTCATATCGCTTATCTCTGGAACCACTTATGCTGACGTCCTGAAATTGGACACAGCAACATATGTTGTCAATACCGTATTTTCGGCGAAAAGTGGTCGATTTTGGAAAAGGGGCCATGGCACCGCCCATACAAAATGAAATTCTCATATGGCTTATCTCTGGAATCGCTTATGCTGACGTCCTGAAATTTGACACAACATATGTTGTCAACAGTGTTGGCAAAATGCTAATCTGATAAGTGATTAAAAATTAACGATTAAAATGTTAATCGCGATTGACGATTAAAATTAATTAATCGTAATCAACTGAACGATTAATGATTAAATTTTTTTAATCGTTAATCGCTGGCTGCGATTACGATTAATTAATTTTAAATCATTAGTTTTTATTCCAATTAAAAAGAAAATCTGATTAAGTTGTCTAGTTTGTTCGAACTTGAAACCAAACAACAGTTATAGTAATTATTTTGTGTTCTACGCTTATAGAGCACATAATCTAAAAAAATTATAATTATTGTTATTAGTAATACACAAACTGGGAACTCTTACAACCCAGCGCACATGTGCAGAGGGATGTTAAGAGATAGGTTGTAAAACGTCTGTTGGAATAGATCTTAAAGAAAATGCACACCAAATTGCTTAGATTGATGAGGAAAGCCGACTTAGCCATATACCCCATTAACTGGGCTTGTATGCACAGGAAAATCCTAGCATAAATTAATTATTCACCAAACCTACTTAATCAAATTAAGGGTTAATGATTAAAAATTAATTTTTTTAATCGTGGTTACGATTAACTGTTTAATCACATTAAAATTAATCATGATTAACTGTAATCGGATTGAACTTAATCGAATTAACTAACTGATTAAAAAATCAATCGATTAGTGCCAACACTGGTTGTCAATACCGTACTTACGGCGAAGAGTGGTAGATTTTGGCAAGGGGGCGTGGCATCGCTCATACAAACTGAAATTCTCATAGCGCTTATCTCTGGAACCGCTTATGCTAACGTCCCGAAATTTGCCACAGTAGGTAAATTAGTATAAATTTACTTTGTAGCGCCATTTTGCGGTTCTTTAAATAAGATAAACAGATATCCAAATTAATTCATCGTATCGAAGAATCCTCAAATACAAATTAATATTAAAAAAAAAAAACATTCGTAACATTTTAGTAAACAATAATCTGCATATTAACTTAGCATCATTTAAAGATATATTCTTTCAAAATTGCGCAGGCTCGAAATTAATTTTAGAGCTATGGTCTGAATGACTTTTGTTCTTAGAATTTCATGTAGAATCCAAATCTGCTAGGAACGATTACGGAAAAAATTGACCCGCCCTGATACATATATGTTAAATGTGAAAATATGTAACCAAATGCTTTACCGTTTAGAATAGGTGTGTATAATTTTTTATTACATTGAAATTCTTACTTAAAGTTAATCCCTCGACGATAGCGATGTATATATAATTTCTTGGGCGTGTTAAAGATATGGAAATGCGTGATCGTGATGTTCCAAAATACAAATCCACGAGCTAACTTCATACCTCGATTCTCCTGCATACCTTGACCACGGCGGGTTAGTTGCGATTTTCTGCAGACACTTTCCAGAAGTACCGATGAAATCGTCCAGAGCTTCGTATTGTTGTCCCCACAAATCCCGACTGTCTCAAGTATATTTACAAAAAATTTACTATTGCAGCTCAAAAATTTGCGCAAATTAAATAGCTACTTTTCACTTTTTATGACAGGAAAAGTCCTGTTACGGTCGCCAATAACTATGTATCTCGAAAAATAAAAATAATTCAATTTACGTAGGATGATGTTTGAACGTCTGCTTTATTGAATATATGCTAGCAAGTGAAGTTTCTAATTCCAGAGTATGTACATATATGGTAGAAACATAACGAAAAGAGTTAATGTTAACTTTTCGGACTTAGTGATGCTAACAATAATTTTAATGAAATGTGAGTAATCGGTTATGTTCCGCGTGATTATTTTAATTCATATTAAGTAAAAATTTAAAACCGGCTTCTATTTTAAATGCTACAGTGTTTTTTAATGTGATATGACCGAACATCCTATCTGTATAGAAAGTGTTGCATATGGAATGTGAGAAAATATGAAAAATTCAGGCGATCTTTGAGTGCAGTTACTCGAATTTTTGTGGAGTGTGTTTTTGGCCAAACCTGCCGGTTTTCGATATATTTTACGTAAATGTACAGCTACTGGTCCACTTTTGCAAAAACAGCAAAAACATGATTCTAATTTTATTTCATTATCTGTTTATTCTATGTTTAGCTTTAACCTCTATACGTAGTAAATAATGTATAAATGTAAGTGAAATTTGTGTATTCGTATTTTCGCACCTAACTACATACATATGTTATTAGGATATATTCATGTTATACGCACTAAATGTTGGGATTTCTTACTTCAAGGTGTTAGTATTTATTTATTAGTATATTTTAATTTGCTTTTTTCTCACTACTAATGGTAGACAAAAAGAAAACCAGTCGTTGCATTTCACCAAAGTCATAAAGCGAACATAAATATATACATATACATACATATATGTACTCTCAAGCAAATCGATATAAGCCTTACACAAATCACGTAAACATTGTCATAAAAAATGACTCCCATCAATTTAAAGAAGTGCATTTCATCATATTTTATACGAAATCAAGAGAATTTCGGCATGACAATATCTCATGTCCATGTACATAGAGAAACCTCAACAAATGAATTCATTAATAATTTTAGTCTACAAGATCAATCGGACTCACGGTCTCTATCCGATTCCTTGGATAACATACCGTCGAATGTGTTCGGACCCGAAGGAATTGTCACACGATTTACGCTACCACTTTCTTATGGCCGCAAGGAGGCACGACAAAAACGACTTGGGTAAAATACACACAAGAGAGAAAACAAAATCCTATACTTTTAACTAGAGCTCTTGATTTTGTTCGCACATTTTCAAACAGCCCGGGTATATGAGCAGCGAGTACTCGCACACTTGTTCAATGCTCATTACTCGAAAATTTTCGAGCATGAGCTCGAGCAATTCGAGTTTTTTCGAGTAATTTGAGCAATGTTTTTTTTTTATTATATTGACATTTTTGGTAGCAACTTTTAAATTTTTCAAATTATTGATGTATAATGCAAAGATTGTTACATTGGTATCTAATAATATAATTTATTTAACATGAATTAGAAAGCAGCTGCTGACAAATACAATTTCAAAAACTCGAAAATTTTGAACAAGCATTTGAGCAGTTGAGCAATGAACGATTTTCGAGCGAGTATCGAGCTACTCGCATTGCTCGATACCCGGGTATCTAGAGCTCTACTTTTAACACAATAAAGAAGGCTTTTGTTTTGATGGACTTGTATATTTAAAGTTTATTTGTTTGGCATAATGGCCTTGTAATTGGCTAATCTTAGTTATATGTATGCAGCCTAGAAAACAGTAATAATATGATTTTTAACGTATCTTAAAAATACTTTATATGCAATAATAGAATGTAGTGACTTTAAATAAGTAGTAACTCCCAATGTCGTGCTAAGAGTTAGAAACAAATTTATAAATTTACCTTGCTTAAACTTATTGCGCGTAAGACTTCCGTTGCTTAAGAGTATACGCTTATTGATTGAATGCTTCAATTTTATCAAAAACATTTGTATTTTTTGCAATGAAAGGCAAAAGAAAAGGGCTTTTAAAAATAAAACAAGTACATACACATATATATACACTACTACTCAGAAGATTAGGCTCAGCATGATTTTCAACTTTAATAGTTTCATGCATCTGCTAGATTATACGCAACTTACGAAACCAAACAAAAAGAAAACCGAAACATTGACATTATCATTGACCTTTTGACATTTTTTTAAGGAATGAGAAAAAAGTTAAATTGAATCGTTCGCCGAAATAGGAGGATATCAATAAGGTATTTTACTAGTTTGGAAATCAGGTGTTATATTTCATGACTAATCATGTGTTTTGAACCTATTTTAAGTGTCAGCTTAATCTGAGGAAACATTTAAATCAAGAGGTTAAAAGAATAAAAATTCAATTATATAAAAAGAAGGCTGAGCTGCAAAAGTCGTGGTAAGTAGTGCCAAAAGCAATATTAGGAACTCCATTATATAGTGAATGAAAGGTGAAAAATCCTCTATCGATATCACAAATGCATACAACGTATTCAACATGTAAGTGTTATATTAAAAAAGACAAAAATTTGAAATCATGCAATTAACTATAAAAGTTGTTATTTTTTATTAAGAGTTACCATTTATGTATTAAATATGGGCAAATTGGAGAAGTAATACTGGATCACCAATTTTAGTTTGGTTTTTGCTCTCCAGACGCCACTATCACTTTTCTATGTAGAATTGGATGATTCCGAAAATCGAGTTAATTTTTTATTCTATGGATAAGTTTTCGAGATATTTGCAATTTACCGTTACGAACCAATTAACGAATCTTAAAATGAGATACGTCAAATCAAAGTTAATAAAATTATCCATAAACCATATATATTACTTTCCGATAGGACAGCTAGTTTCCGACGAATTAATTAATCATTCCAGTGTTTTTTATTTTTTTTAATGAAAAAATTAAAAACAATCAAACTTTAACAGAAGAAAAATTAAAAAAATAACAGGTTCTGTGCAAAATTTTTGCAATTGTGCTAAAGCCTGTTCTTTTACAAAAAAAAAAATCAAGTTACTTATAGAAAATCGATGGATAAGTAAAGAAATAATGAGTGGTAAAATGAAAATACGCAAAAATTTTTTGTATGAAAAATAAGCAGGAAAGAAAATTACTCATACGCTACGTACACCTGAGTAACACGCTTCTCTGCTCAGTTAAAAAAAAAAATCTGGAATCAATTATTAATTTGTATAAGTCCTATCGGAAAGTGATGTATATGTGTTTTATGGAAAATTTTATTAGCTTTCATTTTGCGTATTTCATATCAAAATTGTTAAATTGGTTCGTAAGATATACGTGATTAACAGGTCTATTCTGCGCTGGTAATAAAAAGTTTGTAACCGGTAAATAAAGTTCCTGACAATTTTTAAACCCTTTTCGCATTCTGTGTACTCTTGTAACCGGTAATTTTTGTTACCATCTCATAGGCTGGTAACAACGTATTGTCCCGTGAAGTATGCAATGCCAGAATTTGCACAATTCTTCATAGCTGAATTGCTGAATATTTTAACTGCATTACCATCGCGTTGACAAGAACTGGTAAAATTTTTTGGTAATAAAATTTTCCGGTTACAAAATCATCGGTAACGTGCAGAATAGACCTGTAAGTGGAACCAATTTTTGTTTTCAGCTGAATAACGGTAAATTGAAAATTTCTCGAAAACTTATCCATAGAATAAAAAATTAACTAGATTTGCAGAATAAGCGAGGAATTCTATATATAGTTTTGCCATTTGTCACAAAACCGAAGTAAGCAACCCTTACTACAACACAGTGGCACATGTCTCACATTTATCGTGAATATTGGCATAAGGAAAAAACTGGCGATAGGCCAGTGATGCTTTTATGTGAAATAACGACATTTTTCGTTTTGTGCCGTTGTTCAGTAGTACCAGTGTAGTTATTTTTATTAAGGTACTTAGGAGTTGTTACTTACATATTTCGTATTTTTTCGGTCGAAATAATAGAAAATAATTTGAAACCTTAGAAATTTTCCCTAGAATGTGACTGCAGATATTCCCGAATAATTACGTTCCAGTACCTATTTTTGCTAAATTACGAAACACGAAATCTTGGCTGTACTGAAAAATATGAAATTTTCAGTTGTGTCATTATTACAGAGGATCATCGATTTATTAATTTCATATTTCTATTCACACTTATTTGAGAAACATGATTTTCACCTCTTACTTAATGAAACAAAACTGTAAATAGCCTCAGACTTAAGTACTATATATTTAAATAAAATAGCACAATATCGCTTAAAAAATAAATTTTCTTAACGACAAAAAAGTAACGTTAGCACAGATCATATACAATGATTTTAAAGTTAACCAAGGGCCAGGTTCCATGTTTACGATGTGTTCTCCTCCTGATAAGATTTGGCTGTGGTAGGCAATAAAATCCGAATAGTTTGATTTCTAATTGTGTACTCACGTAGTTGCCAACATCCTTACACTATTTTAAGTGCCTTTGAAATTCCATCACGGGAGAAATTTTAGTCAATAAAGCTGGAGGAGTTACGCTGCTAATTACTAAATACTAAAAAACTTACATTGGAAGCCATTTATTTTCGCTTTAAATTACTCCTTATTCAGAAATTAATTGCACTAAACCTACATATTATGGTGACAGAATAAATCATATTTTTTAGTCGTTTAGTTTGAAACCAAGAACACGTGAAAATATAACCAATGACAGTCCAAGTGAACAGGATTTTCAAAAATAACTTGCGGACAATTTAGTACATGCACCTCACAGTTATGTTTGAAAATTACATATATTGAACCTATTCTGCTGAGTGGCAGTGCATTTGTCAACCAAATGTGAACCCGGAGATAATTTAACTTCGGTTGCTGCAGGTCTGCTCCACAAGGGTAGAACTTTTATTTATTCGAAGAAAGAATGGATAGTTTCCGGGCTCCTTACAATTACGCCCCACCCATGAATGTTATACTACCGTAAGTGGTATTTAATGGAAATAAATATTTCTGGAACCACTAGAAAATGCCCGTCTCCGCTGCGCGTGATCTATACGGAAAAAAGTAGCCTATATGTTCACCCAAGCATTAAGGTATCTACTTGCGAAATTTCAAGCAAATCTGACCATAAACAAAATTTGTTTTCGAATTGATCGTTCCCTCGTTTACTTATCGAAAGAAGTCCTATATATTAACTAAGCCAATAAGCTATCTTCGTACCACTTCAAGCAAATCGAACCATAAATACGATTTTTTTCTAATAGATCAGTCCCTGGATCACCTACTGAAAATAAGGATTCTTTATGTTAGTCCAGAAAGTACACTATCTATGTACGTGTCAAGTTTCAAGCAAAGCGAACCATAAGCAGGATTTTTTCGAATAGATCGATCCCTGGTCTACGTATTGGGCAATACAGGCAATGAGCTATCTGTGTGGTGTATAACACTTCTTTACTTAAAATTATAAACTCCAGTGATATACTAAGGGCTTAAAAAAGCTAAAAACCTTGGAAATAAGGATTATAAGAAGTTTAAAGTAACTATGTTTTCTATTAAAAATACCGCCAATATTTAAAGAAATTCAAATGCTTGGATAAATTCTTGTACAGAATTTTAGATTCGAAATCAAGTCTTATTCGAAGTCCTTCCGGAACTTCGACATGTCAAAAAAGGCATGTTCCACAATTCCATCCTCAGTCGTCCTCAATGGAAAGTCTGCGTGTTATCCACACGATGCTGGTAATCTATTTGCTGACTTTTTTAATTCCAAATTTTTTTCAGATGACGACTTCTCGCGCCAACATTTACTCCAAATTCCACACTCATAAAAGGAATATTAAGCTCAAAAACTCATAGCAAACGGACTTTAATGGCCTCTAGGCTCTTTTATTAAAATTCTGTCCCGCTCTGGTACTTCCATTGAAAATTGCACTACGGTACTTACGTTGAAAATAATATTCAATAAATCTTTATCTTTAGGGAAATTCGTTGATAATTGTAAACCGGCTTCAATAACCTCTATATTTAGGAACAATAATGATGTTTGCAATTATATACAATCTATTTGGAAACTCACTAATGTGTCTAAGCTATTTGAATGCGTCATCAAAGGTAAAATATATTTCCCAGTTCTGAGTTTAATTTGCGAAAATCAACATGGGTTTGCATCGCGTCGCACAGTTACAAATCTGTCATCTTTAGTGAGT